CCCTTCGCGATGCTTTCGGGAACTCTTGTTGACAGTTTACTTTACAGCAGTGCAATGAGGAAGATCAGAAAATCCGTGTCTCGTCTGGCATTTGCTTTACATCGCTCCTTCAAGCCGTCGAGAATGCTAGGCCAGTATTTTGGCAGTTTGCCAACGAAGGTGGGAACTTGTGGAGTGTGTCGGAAGCTCACAGCACTGATTTTCGCCCTTGCGAACTGTACATTTGGGCTCGTTGCATGTGTGGATCAGTGCGATTAGCATAACATGCATGCAAGTCTCGTCATGGAGAAACACTGCACATCCCAAGAGGATGCACATAGTTGAGCGTTCGATCCTGGTTGGGAACTCACAGTTTTTCATTGCGAATGCTCCGGCGACTTGTCGATGTTGGAAGATGTGATAGCTATGAGAAGCTGGGACGCAAAAGCCTTGCTTGTTTTGATTGTGGCCCTGAGCCATGCACAACCTCCGCAGGCAATCAATTTCATCGGCGTCCTGCTCCAGTCGCTTCCCCGTGGCAGCCTCAATGGGTGCTTCTTGAAGTTTCTTCCCACACAGACTAGTTCGTGGGTCGGCAAATAGCTTCTGGGACGCAGTCAAGCCCGAGCAATAGCGCTTTCGTTGTAAAAACAGTGTACCCAGTGCATGCGTCAGGGCCATGTCTTGCAGCGGTATCGGGAGCGGGTGGTCGGAAACTTTCGACAGTCCACGTCACGAGGTACGGAGACGGATCGAAGCGACAGCGGACGGAACAGCCCAAGAGCCTCGGAAGCACTCTGCGCTCCTCTCCCATGGCCTGCGTCTGCCGTGTACCCAGGCCACCTTGTGCCTTCTTTCGTGTTGGCCGCTGCGCCAAAGGAGACGATCTTGTCTTGTTGTTGTCCAAATGCGCGTCCAGAGCATTCCTGGTCGCTTGTCGCGTGCTTTGGAGCCTGGGGCGGATAGACTCTACGCTAAGTTGACAAGTCCCGTTCTGTAGACACTGTCAGTGCGAATGTCGGAACATGCAGGAGCGAACTGCCCCTACGCCCATGAAGATGGAGAAGTGGCTGAAGATTGGGCTTCTGGGGGAAACTCTTGGCCGGTGACTGTGGCGGTGCCTGTGGAAAGGAAGGTTCCGCAGGTTGTTCCTCCGCCTGCGGACAGACCTGTGAGCAGACGCTCGCCAGCTCCAGTGCCAACGGATGATTCAAGCACGATGTTCAAGCGTGCCTCGGTAGCACGAGTGTCACAGCGTGTCAAAAGAAGCATGGGAGCGCATGACAAGAGAAGGAACGCTATGCAAATTTTTCCTCAACGGGTGCTGCGTCAACGGTGAGATGTGCACCTTCGCCCACGGAGAACATGAGTTGCAACAGCCGGCAGAAGGTGCGTGCCACACAGAAGCCGCTAAGTACAACGCCATTCAGGATTCGTTTGAAAAGTCTTTGCGCAGAGAGCTCCTGCTAGGAGGCACGTGGGTTTTCATACCTTCGACTGCGCCGACTGCACCCACAAAGATGGGTTCAAGCTGGGGTGCCCTGGCTTTGGCTTCGCGAAAGACACAGTCCAAAGCTCGGTTGGATCGCGTGCACCAGTGCAGCCCAGCTAGGCATGACTGCAACCTCAGTGGCTCAGCTTGCTTTAGGCTGTGTGCTTACTTTGAAGCTGGATCATGCAAAAAAGTCGGCGGCTCAGTTGGCTATTGTGCAGTCGTTGTGCTCAGCCCTTCGTCTTTTGCCAGATTCACCCATGAGTTCCATCTTGCTGTCCAGTTTTGCATGCTGACGTCGTTGTTTTCTGTGGTGTTCTGACTGTCTGTCTCCCTGTCCGTTTGTCTCGCCCCGTCTGTCTGGCTCAGTCTCACTCGTCTCTCTTGTCTCTCCCGTCCCTCTCGTCTCTCGGCTCTCGTCTCTCGGCACTCGACTCACCCTCGACTCGCTCTTGCTTTGCTCCTTGCTCCTCGCTCCTCGCTCCTCGCTCTCGACTCGCACGCTTTCTGGAGCTTGGAGCAGCAGCTGCCCGCAGGGTGCTGCGTGCAACTTCGCGCACGGTTCTTCTGAGCTCGCCGGGCCCCCGCTGGCGTGGCGAGAGCCCGCCAAGGGCGTGCCTCGTGCTTTCGCTGCACCTAAGGAACCTCGGCCGAGATTCGCATTTGTCCGCACATGCATGCGCCTTCTTACAGCCTTTTTGCATCGCTTCATACGAGGAAAGCGAGGGAGCTTTGGAATGCATTTTCACAGCTTTACTCGTAGCATTCAGGGCCATGCAGATATAGGAAGAGCTCGGCACTTTAAGGATGGATGAACTGGAATCGCGGCGAGTATCGGCCAGACCACTTCAAAACCCGCATGTGTAAGTTCTTTCTGGAGGCACCGCTCAGCCGAAACCTGAACAAAAACAACGAAGTGAGAATTTGGAAATCTCCGTTTACAGCAAGTGTCGACGTTTGTTCAGTCTCCCAGCATTTGCAGCACCCTGCAGGGCAACTGCGCCACCGGAGCTGAGTGCAGCTATGCACATGACGAGAGCGAGTTGCCAACAAGTGGAGCCGACGAGAGTGAGTTGCCAACAAGTGGAGCCGACGAGAGTGAGTTGCCAACAAGTGGAGCCGATCCGCTGAAGGATGAAGGCCGTTCGTATGTTCAAGTTCCATGGCTCCGCCTGAGTTAAGAAATGGGGGGTTGACGAGGTGCTTCTCATCCTCCGCGCGCAAAGCACGTGTTCTTCAAGACCCGGCTGTGTCATCTCCATGCGAAGGCCGGGGTGCAGCGATCATTGCACGAGTCTCGGTCCATGTGTGGGATGTCTCTCAGAAACTTGACTTGGCATCGGCCTTTGCCACTTACCTCTGAACACTAGTGTCTGGGGGTTGCGTGGGATGGCGAGGGGACCGGAAGGAGTTTGAGTTTCCAAAGTGGGACCCGTCGAAGGAGCGATCGGTCACCTGTCTGAGGATGAGCTTCTGCTATCTTTTTGTGTGTGCATGCGAATCCAGCATGGCGCAGGGACGCAGCCATCATGCGTGCGTGAATGGGTTTTATTTTCCCGGCCGAAAGTGCAGACAAAGTTTGTCGAAAAGGAAAACAGTGTTTTCTCTGCGTGTGGATAACACTAGACAACACTTTGCCGTGCAGCTTTCGGCTTAAAGTGTGGATCGCAGATCCAAAAGATTTTTCTCTTCCGTA